TTTATGTGTATCCAGTGCATTATAAAAGGTTTTATAAAATAATCATTATCTGTAACGATAGCGGTAATTAATTACAAAGTAATCAACATTGCGTAGTTTTCTGACAATTCACAAACGATTTGAAATCATCCCAGCGTGATGTATTACAGATAGTTTTTGTCACTAGGGAAGTGTTTTTTGACTGAAGGTTTTCTGGTACAATGTAGAACAATGTTACAGTCTAAGTAATTAATAATCTAGCAACTGTCAACAACAAAAAAATACCTCATTAAAAAATTATGTTAAAGTTTTAGTATTGTAAATTATATGGCTGAGTAAACTTTTTTTATGTTATGAAAAGAAAAGAACAGCCAGTTTTTACGAGGATAAGAACTTCCGTTTTGAGGATCCTTTCTAACCTGGACCTTGACGAAATCTCTTGCCATTGATCTTTCCCAGATAATCCCAAGACATTTACAGCTGGGTTGTGGTTACTGAACACTGAGTTGAAATCAAGTTAGCAGCCAATAAAGCTGTTTCAATTAACACTGAACTGACTCGAGGAAGCAAAAACTGTGGGATCAGACTTTCAGTTTAGCAGATGACAAAGCCACTCTGTACCATCTGGAATGTCTTATTAACTATATTGATTATTGTTTAAGTTTTTGTATATCGAATATTTAAACCATGTGTTGCCTTCTCACCTGGCATTTTGAATCATCTTGACTCATTTCTTTGACTCATTCACATTTATGAAAAATTCCAGTGAAATTTCATGATTAATACTGTGTGGTGTCTTAAATGATATTATGTTTCCAGGAAAACTGTAGGACAATATCGACTTGTTTGAAGTGAAATATACACAAGATATGTGGAAAATATGGTATAGTTATTTCATGAGGTCAAAGGTTAAATATAATAAAGATATCAATATATTGCCAGATTTTTAAAACAAGGAAGGAAAAAGTCCGGAAGTTCTTGATACTTGGAAAGAGAAAGTGATTTGTACCAGTTCATAACAAGTGTTTGAGTCTTTATATTTTTTTGAATTTTTAAGTTACAAATTTGATAACACGAAAGTTAACTTTGTGAAAAAACTTATGTGCAAAAACTATGGTATTATAGTTTCCGAAGCTAAGAAACTTTTTGAAGATTTTTTCATAAGAATTCAAACAGGAAATGGTTTTCATCCAAGAATTCCTTGTTTGGAAATTTGAGAAAATGAATTTGTTTTGTTTAAAAATAGTTTGTAATGGTGGAGAAAATATTCCCTTGTTGTTTTCCTGACACAAAAACGGAGACAAATTATTCCTAGATTGTTTTTCCGACTTGTTTTTTTTTGGAAACTGGGATAAAAAAAAAATGTGTCTTGTCCCTTGAAGTGAAACCAATGTCAGACATAAAAATAAATATTTGATAGGAACTATTACCAATATAGTCATTCTGGTTTATAATTCTACCATAATGAATTGTCAGAAACTACGCCTCGACGTGTCCTGGGACACCAGTATGAAGGTAACTGTCTTCTGTTTGTCTAATTCATTCATTCATTCATTCATTCATTCATTCATTCATTCATTTTATTGTTCATTCATTCATTCATTTTATTGTTCATTCATTCATTCATTTTATTGTTCATTCATTCATTCATTTTATTGTTCATTCATTCATTCATTTTATTGTTCATTCATTCTTTCATTCATTCATTTTATTGTTCATTCATTCTTTCATCATAAATCATTCATTCTTTTGTAAATTCGTTCATATTCATTCATTCATATTCATTCATTCATTCTCTCATTAATCATTCATTCATGATTTCATTAATCATTTATTTTTTCATTCATTCAGTGTAATTTGAGGTCATTGCCAATTATATGTAAGGGCCTTAACAAAAGCTATGTCTTAAAATGCTAAGTTTAAGTGGAATTATGGAATGGTGCAGATCGATGTCAGTGTCCCTGATACACACAAAAAACATAGAAACAACTTTACAATCCCTTTAAGGTTTTAAATGTTTTCAAATTAGAAATGTTTTTGAATCTAAAGTAGAAAACCAATGTTTGTGGAGTGTGGTTGACATGTCTTTAAGTAGATTTACTTTCTGTTTACATATCTATACTGGTTTACTGAAACTCTAATCTGATTGGTTGATTTGATTTGATTGACCAATCAATGTCCTCGATTTATAATCCATGTCCGGTTGACTGTTTTTTCAAGTGGATTTTAAGGGGATTTACCTTTTTTGACATACCTACACCAGTTTGTTATTTGGTTTAGTGAAACTTGAATCTGATTGGATGATGTGCTTTGAGTAACCAATCAATGCCCTGGGTTTATAATCTATGTCAAGATGATGACAGGTTAAGTAGACAGGGATGTGTTTTTACCTGTTGGACAAGGGGGATAATCCAGACCTGACAGATCAATGGGTTTTAATCAAAACAACCTAATTACTTCATTCATCTACTAATTAACCCAACATTGTTGCAAAATGAAATTTCCTCACCCTACAAATTGAGCCATTTGACTTCTGTTTTGCTGCAAGATAGGACTCAATTTTTTATTTTTTGTCATCTTTTGAAAATCAAGATGTGGATTTCTCTTATTTTGACAGACAGGGTAAAACTTTCTGAATTTGTTTGATTTACATTTGTATGTATTTTGAAATTCTTGTTTTGAAGTTAATATTTTGATCATACAGAGGCAAATGATCAATATGCACGATTAGCGCATGGGCAGTGAAATGTCTTTTTTTGATGGTTCCATCCTTGTTGATACTTCTGTCACTTCTTGAACATCTGATGGAAGAGTAGCATGAAAATTTGTAGCATTAAATAAAATAAGGAATTAGATAGAAGGGTTGGATGTATTGCAATTGCAGATTATCAATTTATTTAAATATTTTGAGATGCAGAAAGCACGTTCTTTAAAATCTTGATAAAAGAGAACTTTGTCAATCTCTTCTATTATAATTAGAAATAACACATATAGATAAGTTCCATAAAAGGTAACGATTTTTCCACCAATTAGAAATATTTATTTTAAAGTGATGTATTAAATGATTGGTTTTGGCAGTAATTGGGTTTTGAAGGATTTGACGCAACGTGAAGTTTAAAGTCAATAAATTTATTGATGAGAATTATGGAAACATGGCGTTAGTAACAATAGTGATGCATTTAATCGTCATGGAAATGGCTGCAGAATATGAATTGTTGAGTGTTCAATATTTGTGGAAGATTCCGTGATGTAAATTACCTTATTGATTGACAGTTGAATAATGGAGACCTGCGATTCCGTGAAATAAGACCAATGTATGAATACGTTATTGTAGAATTTTCAATATTTATTTTTGTCATTATCATCTCGTTGAAATAAGGTGTGGATCGTAAGATCGTAGTGACATGTTGACAGACGACGATTTCAAGGGTATTCTGGGATATTTTAAAATGTCTGATGGGAGAGTACTTACCTGTTTTAATTTGACAAGATATCAACGTAAGATTTTTACTTTTATGCAAATGAATCAGAATATTTTTTTGCTTTTTCGCTTTTTGCTTTGTGGTTTTGAACTTTTTTCATCTAATGGTTCTTTAACTAAGAGATTGTTGAAACCATCTTTAAATTCCTGGAAGAGTTTTTAGACAAATACCAAATTCAGGAATTTCAGAATATACCCTAACATTTTTCAAAAAATTCTTATAATCATATACGGGTACTGAAAATAGTTTTTTTAATTGCGGTGACAGAGACTCTCTACTCTGCTCCAGTTGAAAGATAATTATTATAAAATGTAGATATATATTAAAAAGTACTTGAAACATTGTGTGAACATGTGACACCTTATTTTGACATGTTAATAACTTAAAAAATTAAACTATACTCTGTAAAACTCAGGGCTTGGTTCAAAAACTTTTATAATTTTTAACTTATACTGCATATATTATAATCTTTCATATTATTATATATTTAAAATGAAATGGTTTTGTAATTGTTAACCTTTTTTTGAGTCGCATATAAACTAAATATTAAAGGGATTGTAAATAGGTTGTCTGAAAATTTTATATGTATCGGGGAGACTGATAGCATCTATTTACACCATTCTAATTTTCAATCAGACGTCTGTGGTTCCTGCAATTACACAAAAAATAGGTGTTTGTTGATGTCACTTATTGCAAAGGGCCTTATATGATAAAGCATATTATTGACGTCATCATCAACTATTTTTTTGTGGAATTGCAGGAACCACAGACGTCTGATTGGAAGATGAAATGGTGCAAATTGATGCTATCCAAGTCTTGGTTACACATACAAAATAAAAAAAACCTCTTTACAATCCCTTTAAATCCTTTATACCTAGTATTAGTATATTTCTATTTAGAATCATACTGCATACATCCCTATTCAATATGTGATAGTCTGATTCAGATTTCAATCAAAATTGATAAAGCTTGTGTTAAATTGAGGCAGACACATCTCTTTTGATCAATATTAGATCTAGGATAGTGACGCTTGTAGGTTTGAATCTTAATTGGCTAGTGATACATTAGTATTGATAGCAAGGTATTTTGGATTGCCATACATGTTGTTTGATTCAGCTGTAAATGGGTACTGATAATTTTAAAGTTTGATCCAGGGCCATCTACCAAGATAGGATTCTTGGGAACCCAAAGAAACAGGACCAGAACTTAAGTTATCCTCGTAAAAAGGACCAGCTTGTGAGAACTTAAGTTATCCTCGTAAAAAGGACCAGCTTGTAGACAAGATTCTTAAGAACCTAAAATATAAAATTGACCAGACCCAGTTGGTAGACAGAGCTTTTAAAATCCTAAATTAAACTATCCATGGCCACAAGGTTTTATCATTAAGGTAATTTAAAGGTGGCAGCCCAGTTAGGAAAAGGAAAGCTGTATCATTAGGCTGTTAAAGTCCTGTCATCATCATCATCATCAGTGATTTCATTATTTTATTTGTGAATGTTCCACATATTTTAATATTGTTTTTATTTTTTCTCATTTTAGGAATTTGAATGTGGAGTCCATTTTGAGGGCTCGGAATCGTCCAAACAGGAATGGTCGTTTACCTTGTATGATTTTGATGGTCATGGAAAAATAACAAAAGAGGTCAGTTTTATTCAAATTTTTTTATTTGCATTTCTATGGATTTAAAGAGATATGTTTCCCAAATGAGTGAATTTCAGCCAAACTTATTTCAAATTTCTGAAATGAAAAATGAACATAAATGATTTTTTTCAACTTCGTGTAAAATTTCAACATCTGTGTTTTATCAGTCTATAGATATAGGGATGTATCTTCCTAAGATTCTAACCATCCCACAGGGTTTCTAACCATCCCATAGGGTTTCTAACCATCCCACAGGGTTTCTAACCATCCCACAGGGTTTCTAACCATCCCACAGGGTTTCTAACCATTCCACAGGGTTTCTAACCATCCCACATAGTTTCTAACCATCCCACATAGTTTCTGGGGGTAATCATACTGAAGTCCATGACAGGAGGGGGTGGGGTAATATTTTAACCTAGATTACCTGGCGGTTATGGCTGGTTATCAGGCTAGAGACAAGTGATGACAGTAGGGGAGGGGGTGTTGGGTAGAAATATTACAGAAATAGTTTGATATTTCATCAGGTTGTCTTAAAACATCCATCATAATTTTTCAACACCCCTCATCGTAGATCCGACATTTTATACATTAAACTCTTTCTGAAAGAGGTAAATTAAACAGCTTAAAAGGGAAAAAACAACAAACCCTCCTTAATCTTGATCCCAAGAACACATTTTCATGTTTTAGTTATACGTTTTCATGTTTAAAACTGAGAGGCTTATTCTTTCTGCAGCATTCTTTATGCTCTTTCTAATTTTGGAATATAACTTCAAAATTACTTTATCAAAGGCTTAATTTGGAGATATCAGATTAAAATGTTTATTTTCAATCAATCTGTAAAGATTTGTACAAATGTTGATATCTCTCCCGCCTTTCTAAATTTGATTTACATCTCATCAAAACATCATTCCTCACCTCTCTTTTCTATCTTTCTTTACCTTGCTTTGACTCTGACCTGGAATTTCACAGGTCATAGGTCAAAGGTCGTCCATTTTCAGAATATTATTCATTTTATTTCACTCACCGATTTCCTTATCTTTATAAATACAGGAATTTTGTTGATGAAAAGAAATTGATAATATTTGATACCTTTAATATGTTTAAAGTTGAGTTTTATCAGATGTTTCGTCATCTAGAAATTTAGAAAACAATTTAAAATACGAAAATTAGCTTTTTATTTGATTGAATTGTTGCTAGGTGATAAGGTTTTAATTTTCAACGTGACAAAATTTGACAGTTGCTCTCAACTTTATCTCCTAATAACAATAGCTAGAAACAAGTTGGACTATATTATTGCTATGAAATACTGGTCTGTTTTCTAGAGTCAGTCCTGATTTTGATGGACAGAATTGTCGTTGATTGTACCGATTATTATTTTTATCTCAAACTAATAGAAGCAATAATATAGATCAAATTTATTCTGATATTGTGAAAGACAATCTGAACCAGTTAACCATAATTAACCCAGAAAGCTAATCGCTGAAACCAAATAACCTTACTTCAATTCAGAGAAAAGTTCAGATGAGGAAACTGATACTATAAATACCCGGAGTTAGATATATAAACGCTATATCCGTGGTATATGAGAATTATTATCCTCATTATCTCCCCTTGTTATATGAATGATTACACTCGTTATGTTAATTAGCCTATTTATAGATTGAATATCAATTGTTATACTCTGTTGTACTTTGTTATACAATGTAATATTAAAGGGTAACCAATTGTAATAGCACGTCATGATATCTAACAGCCTTTTGGACACAGCTATGACAATGAACCTGAAGTTGAATTGCAAGAACCACTGAAAACAAGTTGTGCAAATTAATGGCTATTAGTGTCCCCAAGACACCCTCTCAAAAACCTTTTAACAATCCCTTTTAAGTCATGCCCGCTCTCTGACTTCTCATTAGTTGAAGAAAAATTCGTTGATTTTGGCAAGATGAGATTTAGTTTATGGGATAGTTTTCTGGTGGTAACTCTAACAATGCCAATTAACAGACCTGAAACTGAAGTAGCCATATTGTCTGATTAATCACCCTTCATATGGGTCATTTAATATTGGTCTGTAGCCAACAATATTCTCATCCGAAATTCCATGTAGAAATTCTAGATGTTTGGTGGTAAACTGTGAAATAGCCTTTGTTCCTTACCATCAGGTAATATATTCAAAGACAATTTTAGTCAAAGTTTCCATATATTGAACTCAAACATACTTTTGGGTGAGGACTGTAGCTCAGTTGCTTAAGGTGCAAATAATCTAATGGATTACCATGATGGTGGTTGTTGGCATATTCATTATTCCAATCAACCCAGCTGTAAATGGGTACGTCTAATTCTGGAAAAATCAATGCCAAGATGTTTAGTAAGGACAAGCTAGTACAATAAATCCAAAGTTGTAATCCTGGTTAAATATGGATGCTTAAGCCTCTAATTCAAAATTGTCTCTTTTCAGGACTTAGCGAGTTTGTTAAAAGCTTTGTACGATGCTGTTGGCTCCTCCATTAAACTCCCTCACAATGGAACCAAAACATTAAAACTGCGTCTGACTGTGGGACAGGATAATGCCCAACTACACAGTGCTCGTCTCGCTTCAGCAAAAGCAAAAGACAGTCCGAAAATAAAAGATGGAACAACCAAAGATACGTTGAAACCGAAAGATATCGCGAAGTTGAATAATCTGACGTCACAGCAGAATATAAAATGTAATAATGAGAAGCAGACGACAGCTAGTGTGTTACCTGGGTTACCAAACAGTAAAGCACGGAACCAGTTGAGTCTGGAGGATCAACAGCAACTGGCCGAACTTGTCCAGGAAAATATGGAACGAAATCACATCAAGCAACTCAGGTAGGTGTTAGTCTTATTTTTGGAAATTCTTGATGTCAAAGATGTCAAATGTAAAAGCCTTGTTCCCTTCACACAGTAGACAGTAATATTGAGAAACAAAGCCTAAGCTTAATGGAGGCAAATTAGAGGTTTCTTGTTTTTCCATTAGATATTTTGAATCCACCCTGATACTCATTTGCCTCAATGTAACTTAGATTTTGCTTTGTGAAGTCGTGCCGACTGGTCTATATCTATTGTGTTGTAATAAACTGAAAGTAAACAGCCATGACTAAGTGTTCTGGAATTGTTTTCATGTGCGTTGGTAGAAATTCCACAATTCATTAATTGATAAGAGTTGGACAACAAACATGGAGTCTGAGGCTCGTTAAGATAATATAAACAATATTTATGGGATAGGTGCTATCATGTAAACATGGCATGAAGGTCAGAGGTCAAACAGTAGGGAGAAGTTAAACATTAACTCTAGATAGCAGGTGATAAAATTCTGCTACTTTCACTTTAATATCACTTATAGGTTATATTTGGTACAAGATGTTTATACTCTTATTTGTGGGGTTGTTTCTAAACATAAATATTCTTCATAATGATTAGGAAAAAACTGACTTGAACATCAGGATTGCTATCAATGGCAGTGGATGAATTCGAACTTGCTTGAAGATACATCTCTGGGTTTTGGAGTATGTATACAACCAGTTTTCAGTTCAAGAATAAGTTGGCTCTTAACTGTTCCTGGATGTGATTAAATTTCTTTTCTGACGATGTCCTGTTTGGTGTTTTGAAATGGTCTTAATGTCATGACATTCTTCCAAATATTTTAATAAAAACAGTATTTAGCAAAATAATGTAGTTCCAGGGGACGCGGGGAGACACCACTCTCCCTATTTAAGGGCCTGTTCAACACCGAAATTCACGAGACTCAAACTTTACCTTACTGATAAGTTCTGTATCAACTTAAAAAACAAAATGGCAGATAGATGTTCTGGATTGACAAGTCAAACTTTCACAGTAGCCAAATCTCACCAGAACTTTTCCTTACTGATAAGAAAACCAGAAATCGTGTATCAATTTCACCAGAGTTTTGATATCAGTAAATTTAAGAGAAATTACCCAGAAAACATCATAAAATAGCCATTAAACAGAGTCAGACACACGTTATCTCGGGATACGAGGTGTTGGTTATTCTAGTCATCTGATTGGTCGATATTATACCTTTAATATTGATGCAAATTGTTTAGGACTTTTCGTGTAGGTCTTGTGCTGTTATATAGCTTGTATAAAATCTCTTGACCATGTCGTGTCGTTTCCCCATCCGTGTTGTGGTACTTAACTAATACTGATTGACAAAAGCTTTCTCTCATGCAGTAAAAATCTGTTTTTGATATATAATCCTCATCAGGGCAGCAAAGTAGAAATAGGGTTAACTTCCAAATCTAAGACCTAAAGGAATTGTAAAGAGGTTTTACAGGTTTTAGCATATAAACTTTGCAGTCTCAAGTTTTGAGCGTCCCTCTATCAAACTATAGGTACCAATGAAGGAGAATTCATCTCTTGCTGCAGATAAACTATGTTTATATTCCTGTAGGTCTGTGCTGACTTTATTATTGTTTTTAAAGAGTAAACACTGACGATATTAAGGTATAAAATGTTTCATTAAGATAAGGTTGATATAAAACAACACGGTAACAGTCTGGGTGGTATTATACCTGATAATGGCGTGGTGCCGAACTTGATTCTATTAGCTATTGTTAAGATAGGACTCAGTTACTTGATAAAAACTTTAAAAACATCGCCTAAAACATTTCAACTATTTATAAATATTGTGATAAGGTAGAAATGATACATATTTAGACTGTTTTATCTGTTAGAAAATTGGTGAAATACACAAAACCCAAACTATTAATTTGTAATATTTTGGGAATTTTAAATGTTTTATCTGGGAGAAAATTGATGAAAAATGTACATTGGATTATTAAAATGTAATATTTTCAACTTTTTGCTTTCGATATTAAGCAATAACTGGTATATATTTAGAAAGTTAATCTTCAATTGGAAAAAAGTTGCAAGTTAAGCAATAAATTTATGATCTGTTTCTATTTTGGAATTAAGAATACGTTCTCCTGTTGATTTTATGATTCTTATTTAATATGTTTATCATTAAATTTAGAAAATCTAGAAACCACAAGTATGTAAAGAACCAATAGGTGATCAAGAAAACTATTAATAATGGTGGGATAGGTTCGCATGTGGGGGTAATTTGATAAAACATCTTTCCATTATCCATATGTCATATTGCAGAAGGCCAACCTAAAGGATGTAAAGTTATAAAACATAAATGTCATGCTATAACTCCTTTGTCCATCATTTAGCCTCTAAGCATGTGATTGTGCCTTATATTCCAAAATTTAACTTAAATAAAATCCAGATTTTAAGAAATACAGTAATCTGATTGGATAATAAAACTGGTTTAAAATTGGTTTTAGTGATTGACCAATCAGATGACTAGAACACTAAAATCATCTTTAGTTAAGTTATCAAGAATAAGGCCCCTCGTTATAAACTTGTGCTTGAGTAATTGTTAATGACGCTATGACAGATCAAAGGTTTCTCGTTGTGAGCAATAACTCCTGTTTGTTTGTGGGACTGAGTTTTCTAAAAATTTCAGAATCAGATTTTAACCCGATGCCAATCAGTCTGACAAGGTGTGAACTGTCATTTATAAACGGATGTGGAGAATTCTAGACTTAGGAAAATAATTAAATACATTTTATCTCAGTTTAACTACGGGAAATTCTAGATTATTTTACTGAAATTTATTTTTTCAGAAAATAAAATGTTAAGTTCTTCATCTTAGAGGCCAAGTTTAAAATAACACATTTTAGATTACGAGAATTTTTAAATAATATGTAGCTATATTTCAAGTTAAAAAAAAACAAATTTGAAACAGATAGAACCAGATAGTTATTTTGACAAGTTGAAGGTCCCAATGTGATATAGATGAAGTTTTTTGTGATCAGATTGAAAATTGGTTGTCAATGATTTAAGACTCACATCAAAATGAGGCTTTTGTTGCTCAATTTGTCGTCATGCGAATTTAATTCCAAATCTCTTTTTCTCTTTTCAGGAGGCACCATAGTGACTGCCGAAACACAGACGGCTCACATCATAAACGTCGTCATAGAAACAAACTTCCACAAATAGCAGACGAGAAGCCAAAAGAGTGTCAGGATCGAAGAAATTATTATTTGGATTTAGCAGGAATTGAAAATAATGCAACAGAATTTCAAAACACGCCTTCCATGCCAACCGCAGGATCTGGTGTAGTGCATCTTGGGAATGGACATCATAGGTCAAGGTCACATGATGTGACGACCCAGAAATATGATAATGCCAAACGTGAATCAGATAGACTTTGTAAACAAATGGACTCACCGAAACTTGACCACAAATCGCGGTCACATGATATTAAGGAAGAGCCAATGGAAACTCGTTCTCCGAAAGGACATCGAAACGTGACCTCTACTCCTTCACCTCAGAAACACGGCAAGTTTCGTCCTGTTAGTCTACCTGCTCATGTTCCCAATTCAGTTTCACCGCATTATCATCGTCGTCATCGACATCGGGAAAAGAATCACGATTTAGCGATGCAGCAAGTTGCAGAATGGATTGAACGCGAGCATACATTCGATGTTGACAAAGATAAAATTGTGATTCAGCGACACGAGCATCACCATGTTCATGAACATCACCATCATCATCACTATCATCATTATTACGAGGCGTAGATTGCGATGTCTTGATTGTTTGATGGTAACAAATTTGTTGATGGTTTTGGAATGATCTGGGATTTAGTTAAATTGTTGAGATTGTGTTGGGAAATCAAGTCACAAAGATTTGCAGTGTTTTGGAATGTAGAATATTGTGATATTTTGAAAGACTTAAAGAGATGATGAAAGAAAACAGTATTTGTATGATTTGTGCTAGTGTTGGGGGCAAGCCTCAATAAGAGTTCTGGCCCTTGATGACAGAAACTTCATGTAAAATAATAGTATTATGGATTGGTGATAGATATCGTGTGATTTCGGTATTGTGCACGAAAATAAACCCCAAACCTGGAGATCCCTGGCCTTAGCTGCGAAGGGTGTTGTGTTGTGTACTCACTTCCGAACATCACCTGGGTTCAGCTTGTTCACTGTGTAGAGTGATGGAATTGATATTTGAAAACTCGTATGGAAAGAGTTTCGTTTTACTCAGACGATAAACTGAATGAGAATGTTGTATAGTAATTCCTGTTAAAATCTACGCAAATTTTGTGGTAAAACTAGGATAAAATGACCATGCATTTCAGACAATGTGAAGTTTGCATGTGTATTTAATAAACTAGATCACTGAGACCAGTGTGTACATTATCAACCATGAAATCCTATTGGATGAAATTTAAACTTATAAAAGATTGAAGCTGATATTCGATTGGCTAATATTTGAAAGTGACCTTGACATTGTTAAGCCTAAATAAGGCGAAAGGATATTTAATAATCTACCTCCATTTTTAGCCTAATTTTAGAATTTTTCCTCAACTTGCCGTTAAATTGTAAATGTATTGAAATTGTAAGTTATAATTATTTTGTATATATTGTTGTTATGTTTAGTTTTATTTAATGATGTTATGCGGGATAACCGTGTTTGGAAAGTTGACTGCCATGTTTGGAAAGTTGACTGCCATGTTTGCAAAGTTGACTGCCATGTTTGGAAAGTTGACTGCCATGTTTGGAAAGTTGACTGCCATGTTTGGAAAGTTGACTGCCATGTTTGCAAAGTTGACTGCCTTGTTTGGAAAGTTTTTGGAAAGTTGACTGCCATGTCGGAAAACCTGCCATAGAAAATGGTTACATTTTACTACCAGGTCAGGAAAGTTGACTCTCGTATAATTGGGAAATTTGACTTTCAATTTGGTAAACTTTTCTCTCATGTCTGGAAAACTGACTCCCATAATAAGGTTGACTTGCATGTTAAAGTTGACTCGCATGTTAGTGGGAAACAAGAAATTTGACTCCTGTTTTAGGAAGTTTGTTATGTTAATGAAAATGTCTTATTTATGGCTTGTTTTTTCGCTCACTATAAGGAATTATATTATTTTATGGTGTAAAAACATTTTTGCGCAGCTGAGGCTGTTTGCAATCATAATCATGAACAGTTAATTCCATTTTTGGGTAGTTTTAGTGATGATAGAGAACATGCACATGCATATTGTCAATGACCACTTGATCTACCCTTAGAATATAGTAGACTGATCTTGATAGTGTTAAAAATAGCCTGAATGTGCAGAAATGTCTTTGCTCTATTTAACATCAGCATTTGTCAGATTTGAGTAAAATTCAATGTGCTTTTGCCGTAAAAATTGAAAGATTGTTAATATTGCAATTAATAAATCTACTTATGACTGGTTGAATTTCTAACTGAATTTGCTAAAGTGTAGCACTGTTAAAAAAGTGTTTATGCCAATTTCTGAATGTTTTAGCCAGTTGGGCTGAAAGTTTTTGCAAAAACTGGATTGGCGTTTTGTTTAAAAACTACCAGTTTTATTAAGGTTTTGAGTGTTTGAAGAATAATGGCTCCTTACTGTCATTTTGTAAATAAAAACCAGAGTTTGAGATTATTGTATAAATGAGTCTGAGGGGTGAAGAATGTGAGATGAAATCTGGGTGGGGTTGACTTGAGGTGGGTAGAAGGTAGGTTAGTCTTTAATAGGCATTGGGCCATCATAGAAAAAGTTGGATGGGGGTATAGGGCACATTTTAGGCGGGGTGGGGATCAAATTGAAATTTGTAAAGGGTGGGTCAATGATTGAGTTAGGACATTATTTTGTTATTTTATCTAGGGTATTGAATGAGTCTTTGTAGGGTGTAAATGTTTGTTACACCACATGTATAATAATTGTGCTTATAATATTTGTTATTGTTTAGGGTTTTTAAAGAAATTTTAACAGGTCCTATATTATATTGAAATATTGACCATTTTATTTCAAATTTTTTAAGTTTTAAGGAATACATGCTTGTGCTTTGTATCACCAAGATTTTAAGAATTATAATGATTTTTTAAGATGAGAACCCCAAGTTGAGAGTGATACCAAGTGTGTAAGAATGTCTGTTTTATTATTCTATTTAAATTCGTGAGTTATTGTGTTGTTACTGTATTTACTCATAAAATCTCAAAATAAAACCTTTTAATTTAACCTGAACACAGTTTTTCCCCCAAATCATTGGGTTTTTCCCCCATATCATTGGGTTTTTCAATCCCCCAATAAAAACTTTGGATTCGGAAACAAGAAAACTGTCCAGATAGTTAGCAGATTTTCTGCATCTAGAATAGGATACAAACTAAAAAATATCATGTCCAACTAGCCAGCAGATTCTGCTTGGTACTATAGCAGTTTTCTGTGGTTAGAAATGGACTAGAGCATACCAAACTAGCCCGTCCAACTAGCTAGCACATTTCTTAGCCTAAAATGACATTTTTCTGTAGTCAGAATTGAACTAGATCATACCAAACTATCGTGTCTAACTAGCTAGTAGATTGTTTGGTACAATGACAGTTTTCTGTGGTCAGAATGGGACTAGACCATACGAAACTATCGTGTCTAACTAGCTAGCAGATTGTTTGGTACAATGACAGTTTTCTGTGGTCAGAATGGGACTAGAACAAACCAAACTATCGTGTCTAACTAGCTAGTAGATTGTTTGGTACAATGACAGTTTTCTGTGGTCAGAATGGGACTAGACCATACGAAACTGTCGTGTCTAACTAGCTAGTAGATTACTTGGTACAATGATAGTTTTCTGTAGTCAGAATGGGACTAGAACAAACCAAACTATCGTGTCCAACTAGCTAGCAGATTGCTTAGTAGGCCTAAAATGAAAGTTTTCTGTGGTTAGAATGGGACTAGATCATACCAAACTATCGTGTCTCACTTGCCAGACACAACAAGGAATGATTGAAGGGGAGGAACTACGATTTAGGTAGCTCAGACCACGTTTAATTTACTGATCGGTTCTATTCGTCGCAATATTGTAAGATATATTTACAATGACAACGTCTGGTTCATTGCCAAACCTCTTGACATTGATCTTTCTCAAGGTATTTGTACATATAGTATATAAAGCTGTGTCAACTTGAATAATGAGGAGAGATGACTTATTCAGTACCCGTTTACAGCTGGGTTGACTGGAATAATGAAGAGAGATGACTTATTCAGTACTCATTTACAGCTGGGCTGATTGGAATAATGAAGAGAGATGACTTATTCAGTACTCATTTACAGCTGGGCTGATTGGAATAATGAAGAGAGATGACTCATTCAGTACTCATTTACAGCTGGGCTGACTGGAATAATGAAGAGAGATGACTTATTCAGTACCAATTTACAGCTGGGCTGACTTGAATAATGTGGAAAGATGACTTATTCTGTACCCATTTACAGCTGGGTCGACTGGAATAATGAAGAGAGATGACTTATTCAGTACTCATCTACAACTAGGTCGGGCTTACCAGATAGAAACGCCACTGCTGTAAGTGTAAAGACATTCTTGTCTTATTTGAGGTTCGCTTAAATATGAAAATAGGCCTGTGTTTGGAATATCCAAAAGATGAATTTATGACCACTATGGTAATGATTAAGGAACCCCACAGTGTGATCAGATGGTTACTTTATCAGTGTACGTCAGGATTATCTCTTGATACAGGCAATATTATATAATAGGCTATAATCTTACGGGCTGAAGTCCACCAGGGGTGCGGAAACATACTGTTTGGACACTCCCCTTGCCCTGGTTCGCTAGCATCACTCAATGGAGTCAAATGAAGTTTTATGTTCTACTGTTCAAAACTTTGTTTGTATTTAAATAAATACTTCTTAAGCAGACGATTTAAATTTTACCAAAATATCCAGATGTAGGTTGTCATGGATAAATAAAATCTACTATAGGGTTATAAATAGACGGCCGGAAAAGTGGAAGCGAGGTTTTGGTAACTCTACACCCCCGAATATTGTAGTCGTGGCACTGTCTTCAGAAACTCTGATCCACGAACAAAGCCAGTTTTGAATCGTCTTGGACAACATCAAGAAAGCAAGCACAATGAAGAGTTTAATCCAAGCAGTTTATTTACTCGGGCTTTATGCCATATCACAGGTATGTTGAATCTTTATTTTTGATATTTTTAGTTTAAAGTTACAGGTAGATCCGAATTTCGCAACTTTCTGCCATTTTCATATTTATATAAACTTATAAAATTAGTAAGACCGATTTAAAAGTGTAACATCCGTGCGGGTTTGATGTTGGAAGCCCTCCATTTTAACCAACTTACTTCTTGAAGTGGGTTTTTTAATAAAGTAATACCCGAATAAAACGTCTGACAAAGTTCTGGAATTTCGGACTTCCAGGAACTTGGTAGCTTTCAATGAGCCATTCTTTAAAACTTTGGAAACTGTAATCCCCACTCCCCATCGTTCCTATGTTTAAGCCAAGTGTTAGGGGTTCAATAAAACTTGTGGGGTGGGGATAAATAAATCAAGGTGACTGATAATTCGGTGGTGGATTTTTGAAATTTTGTCTCGTGGCAGATAAACCTATAAATAGATTTCTAAACGTGGCATCTTGTTGGCATCTTGGTCCACCATTTTACATTCCGAAAGTTTGAAGTTCATTGGTAGGAGGGATTAACTTGCAAAAGATTAAATATAAAATAACGAAACACAATATTAATGCAAACTACTGCAAATTCACGTTTTATTGTATAAAATGTTTCAACAAATTACATTGTCATCATCAGTTCATATGGTATACTACTCCTGAGTTTTATTGTACACAATGTTTCAACAATTTACATTATTACCATCAGTTTATATGATATACTACTCCTGGGTTTTATTGTACACAATGTTTCAACAATTTACATTGTCATCATCAGTTTACATGGTATATACTACTCCTGAGTTTTATTGTATACAATGTTTCAACAATTTACATTATTACCATCAGTTTATATGATATACTACTCCTGGGTTTTATTGTACACAATGTTTCAACAATTTACATTGTCATCATCAGTTTACATGGTATATACTACTCCTGAGTTTTATTGTATACAATGTTTCAACAATTTACATCATCATCATCAGTATATATGGTATACTACTCCTGAGTTTTATTGTACACAACATTTCAACAATTTACATTATTACCATCAGGTTATATAGTATACTACTCCTGAGTTTTATTGTATACAATGTTTCAACAATTTACATTGTCATCATCAGTTTATATGGTATACTACTCCTGAGTTTTATTGTATACAAAGTTTCAACAATTTACATTGTCATCATCAGTTTATATGGTATACTACTCCTGGGTTTTATTGTATACAAAGTTTCAACCATTTACATTGTTGTGTTGTATATTTTTTGGTTCAATGATACCAAAATATGGTGTTTCATTTTTCAATGTGATATCAGTATGATGGGTCAATAACCCCTTTCTCTGAACAGAAGTATGTCTGCTAGCTTGTTAATTATCGATCTTGTGTTTCAACTTATTAGAATTTTTGAAACAAGTAAAACTTCTGTTCCAATCTAACGTAGTTGCCCCACTATTTCAATAAGCTACAGAACTGTAGGATATTAAACTTTTTATTTCAATGGACCAGGGACGTAAAACTATTCCCTACTTACTTGGATTTTTCCTTTATTTCAGGCCGAGCTTCTCGTCACTAAACAAGTATATTTTGACGTCAGTATTAATGGAAAAGAAGCCGGAAGAATCGTCTTCGGATTATTTGGAGATGTAGTACCAAAAACTGTTGAGAATTTCTACCAACTAGCAACTGGAGAACCAGGATATGGATACAAAAACAGCAGGTTCCATAGAGTTATTGACGATTTCATGATTCAAGGTTAGTTTTCATTTCTTCTTGTTAATAGATGATTGATTTTAATGGCTTGCTCATATTCAAATATCCTTACAGCTTGCTTTCATTGTTGATCGATGATTAATTGACCTGCTCTTATGATTCGTGACTTTCTCTTATGATTCATGACGTGCTCTTATGATTCATGACTTTCTCTTACGATTCATGACGTGCTCTTATGATTCATGACGTGCTCTTATGATTCATGACCTGCTCTTATGATTCATGACCTGCTCTTATGATTCATGACTTGCTCTTATGATTCATGACTTGCTCTTATGATTCATGACATGCTCTTATGATTCATGACATTCTCTTATGATTCACGACTTTCTTTTATGATTCACGAATTGCTCTTATGATTCATGACTTTCTCTTATGATTCATGACTTGCTCTTATGATTCATGACGTGCTCTTATGATACAAGATGTGCTCTTATGATTCATGATTTTCTTTTATGATTCATGACTTTCTCTTATGATTCATGACTTGCTCTTATGATTCATGACTTGCTCTTATGATTCATGACGTGCTCTTATGATTCATGACTTGCTCTTATGATTCATGACTTGCTCTTACGATTCATGACTTGCTCTTATGATTCATGACGTGCTCTTATGATTCATGACTTTCTCTTATGATTCATGACTTGCTCTTATGATTCATGACTTTCTCTTATGATTCATGACCTGCTCTTTTGATTCATGACTTTCTCTTATGATCCATGACGTGCTCTTATGATTCATGACCTGCTCTTATGATTCATGACTTTCTCTTATGATTCATGACGTGCTCTTATGATTCATGACTTGCTCTTATGATTCATGACTTACTATCATAATTCACAAGAACTTCCAAGGCCTACTTCTGGGTTCTTAGGTTACTTAAATGTAATCTTGACATAATCTGAATGAATTAAATGTATTTCTCAGGGGGTGATTTCACCAAAGGAGATGGCTATGGAGGAAAAAGCATTTATGGTGAAACATTTGAAGATGAAAACTTTGATTTAAATCATTATGGCTCTGGATGGTTGAGCATGGCTAACTCAGGTAAGAAATATATGAATGGGCTGGGGTGGGGAGGTAGGTAGTCAGGGATGGAATGGGTGAAAGGGGGCCAGGGTTGAAGTTAGTGAATGGGTGTAAGGGTTGAGAAGGAGTGGGTGAATTGGGGTCAGGTTTTGGATGAGGTGGGTGAAAGGTGGTAAGGTTGGGATAGAGTGGGTGAAAGGGGGTAAGGGTTGAGAAGGAGTGGGTGAAAGGGGTTCAGGTTTTGGATGAGGTGGGTGAAAAGGGGGTCAGGGTTGAATTGAGTGAATGGGGGTAAGGGTTGAGAAGGAGTGGGTGAAGGGTGTTATAGCTTTAAGTTAATAGGTTGATTATAAATAATAGTGATGTTTGTAGTAAGTCTCGAAATATTTTCAAAATCAAAGTGATATCTGTCATAAATCTTTTACATAAATGACATCTTTCAATTATTTTAATAATTCTTGCAGGAAAAGACACCAATAGATCTCAGTTTTTCATCACCACAACTAAAACCGGATGGTTGGATGGTAAAGACGTTGTTTTCGGTAAAGTTTTAAACGGAATGGATGTGGTCAAGAAGATTGAGAAAGTTCCCACTGATGCAGTCAATGATAGACCAATGGTAGATGTTTTAATAACTGACTGTGGATCTATAGACGTAAGCAAACCTTTCCCCGTAGACAAAGTTGGTGTTGATGCAGCGTGAAATATTACTACTGTTTTATCATCCAACATTTAACTCTCTTTATCATTTCATTAGTTTTTTTACTGGTTTTAAACATTACTTCTTCAATTCTCATTATTAAGCTACTTGTACATTTGAACACTTCTTTCTTATAATTGAGGGTGGGGTAGGCTGTACTAAAAATTATAAATTATTGAATCTACAGTAATTACAGCACTCATCAAACATACAATACCCCTAATTTAGCAAATGGACTCTCCTGAACATACATCATACTATATTATATTGATTCAGTGTATGCATGTGTGGAAGAGTTCAATAAAATTTCAAGGGGTGTCATCCCAGTGTAAAAAGCATTCTGTATTTTCTATGTTTTCATTATGTATTTCTGAATATTGTTAAATTTGTTACAGTGGGGCATGATCTTTAGTCACATTCAGATACGATTTAACACGTACATGTTCAGTCCACTTGATCTTTGGGTAGTTTGAGTAGTGATGAACACAATATAGGTCTGACTTGTATAGTTTCAATCACTCTCTATTCTGATTCTAATAAAATAGATTGCTCTAGTTTATGTTTTTAGTTGTTTCTGAATGTTTATAAATATCTTTGCCCCACTTTAATAGAAATTTGTTGACAATTTTTGTTGTTTACATTTTTATACTTATATAGAAATATTAATAAAAATATTAGATAAATTGTTGTTTTCTTCGATAACACGAGCTCCAGAGCTAATTCTTATATTTTATCATTGGCCAAGCTTGTTACCAGCTTCCCGATAAGAATCAAATGGTCTATTAGTCCCCCATACACCTCTTATTAAGCATTGACGAAGGGATGAGTTCAGAATTGGGTGATTTTCTCACAAAGCATGATAATGATATGCATTAAAAAGTCAAAGATTAAAAAAGTAAAGTTCTAGATCATAATTTGGAAATTCAAACTTCTGATTTAGAGTAAAGACCAATTGTGCTGACACAATGAACAGAAAATATGGATTTTTCAACAGTTTAATGTAAATAATGATAAATTTAGATACAAAAATATAACATCTTCTATTATGCCTTAGAAAATCTCAAAATCTGTTAGGTTATGATTTCTTTTCCAAAAGTTATGGTAGAAAGAAAATTTTATTGATATTTGGGACTAATATATGAACACAATATTGAGGCAAGTCCAAATCTTGCTGACTCTCAACGCCCTGATAGACAAAAGAGAAATACAAGGCCTATTACACTGGGATCTTCTGAAATGTGGATGGCAAAAGCCAGATAAGAGTCAGCAAGTTTTGGACTTGACAAGGATCAGTTTGGATGGAGGCAGAGAAGTCTTACTCTTCTTCTTCATCAGCCCCGACACCAGTCTTATCTACAGCGAACGGTGTATCCAATTCGATGGCGCCACTTTCAGAAATAACGACATCTTCGATTGGTCTATCAGTGGAATCGGTTGGCATTTGTTCAATATGTTTGACGATATCCATCCCTTCTAAAACCTTGCCAAATACAACATGTCTGCCATCTAACCAGGGACATTTTACGGTCGTCACGAAAAATTGAGATTCATTTGCATCCTGACCTGGAATAGACAGCAAATTGATAAACATACATAAGAATATTAACTATGTAGACTCTCTGAATGGGATCTGGAGTTGATAAACCAAGTCTCAGAGTGGCATCATTTGTTCAGGTGTAAGTATACCCTGTCTCCCCAGCGACACACAACACATGATTAAACTTGGGCTTCATGCAATTATATTGAAATTAGTCTGAATTTGAAAGTATTTCATCAATCCCATTGGCAAGGTGTTGGGTGCAGTCAGGTGCAGAAAAACGAGGATAAAAGGGTCTAGATCTGCATTTTAATCAAGATATATTATGGAGTTACATGCAGGGAGAGTTGTGTAAGAGGAAAATGTGGGAGGGGCTATTGAAAGGAGATTGGGTCGTTAGGAATAAATATATACTAACTTTTAAACATTGTAGAATGACATTCCATGTTAGTTGATTAGATAAGGTAAGCTAGTTTAACATGCATGTGCATCGGGATCTGGTAAATACAGACATGCATGTGCGCACAAGAATTGCATTTGCAACGTCTTGATAAAGTTGAAATCCGAGTAAAAACAATGTTTAGTTTACAACAGTGGTTTCATAATTTCATAAGCAAGACTAAAAATAATGTGTCAGTCTTCTATTTGACACCCCTCAATTCTTCATTAAACTCTTCCAAACATACATACATTCAATGTAATAAAACACAGCAAAGAAGAGTTCATCTAAAAACAAGGGGTTATTTTCTTTAGTCTTCAACTGCTGTCATAATCTATCAGGTTTATATTTAGGATAATAAAATCAGAAACAAAAGCTACAAAAAAAATTCACATATATTCTAGCTTATTTAGATATTTATTCTTCATATATATATAGCTTAATTCTTGATGACAACAAGCAACAGATGGATGAATTGTTTCAGCATGAATGATGTGTAAATAATGTTTATGAAAATCATATCAAATATAAATCTTATAAAAACTGGCAAGATATAACAAGAGTTGCATAGAGTGAGAAAACCTCTTTAAAATTTACATTTAAAAGAAATATCTTAACTAAACAATCTGAAGAGTTCTGATTGGTCATAGTGTTTGCTATATTTATAAGAACCAATATTTATTTTCTATGTATAATATCACATGGATTCAGGAACAAGAAAATACTGATGTAAATCTGTCTCCTTAATCAACATGTATACATCACCTGGGTAACTGTATCTTAACATATGATTGGTTTAAAATATAATTGTATCAACCAATCAGAGTTCTTGAATAGTAGTAAAGCAAGCGATTCCCCGCGAGACGATGCCCAATAAATGCCAATATAAATGCTAATCATTAAGTTTATCAAACATAGTAAAGATATGGAGATGATAAACATAAACACAAGCAGTTCAGTTGTTATAGGTGGTTTAAGAAATACTGAACACAATAAAAGTTTGGCTTTATAGTTTATCTTGAACACATAATACTGTCTTCATTAGCCCACATGGTGCAGCAAAGTAGGACGTAAAACTCTATTCATTTCATTTGAACACAAAAAAGGTCTGACTTGTATAGTTATAATTATCATCTAAAAATAGCGTGGACTGCTTGTGTTTATGTTTTGAATCGTACCCAGACGGACATGAACATTTTTATTTTATTACAATTAAGTAACTCTAGAGTATTACAGTGGTTAAGGTATAGTAACAGCGAACGGGGCAGTGACGGGAAGTGTGCCTGATTGGACAATAACCACGTCTTGAACTGGACGATCATGTAAGGTTCTTGTAGCCTCAATCAGCTGTACAACATTCATTCCTTCGAGAACTTTACCGAACACAACGTGATGTCCGTTTAGCCAGGGTGTGGCGATAGTGGTGATAAAAAACTGAGAGCCGTTCGTATCTTTACCTACAAAACATAAAATATCAGAAAATGTAAATTTAAAGGTTTATTCGTCCACTTTTGGCAATTATTGCAGAATCAGGATGTACATATGCTAATTTATGTGCATAATGCATAGGTTTTTACCCAATAAAGGGCACATACACATGTATCTTGCATAACTTGTTAGTGAGTAAACTTGTAGAACATGAGGTCATGGGGTCACGGGTTCATATTTCAATGATTTGACAAAATCTGAGAAGCGTTAGTGACAGACGGAAGCCGGTTGAAATATCTGAAGCAGCATCGTGATCTGGACTTGCCTTCAGGCTATCACATTAAGCGACTAGGCCAGGTAGGTGCCACTGAAATGCTAGGTGTATCACAGGCAGGTCTTTCCCTATTAACAGTAGTTTTACATTTGAGAGTGGGGGGTAAAGCCAGACCTATTTTCTAAAGATGTTTAGCTATAGTGGACTGCATTTTCCATGAGGAACAGAATCAAAGTAGGCTTTGGAATTCAACGAAGGATATTTATCAATCCTACCTGCATTAGCCATACTCAACCAGCCTGCTCCGTAATGTTCCAACTGGAAATTTTCATCTGCAAACTTAGCTCCATAAATACTCTTTCCACCAGTACCATCGCCTTTAGTGAAATCACCTCCTGTAATCATCAAACATTGGATTGTCAGTAAGTCAGACAGACACACCATGGAACCATACAAAGTCTGCGTCTGCATCATAGGTTTACAGAAAAATAAGAGATCTAATTCATTTCAGCGCTTAAAATTAAAACCTATATCAAGTTTCCACCATGTAACGACATTCCTTTTATACCTTGACTTCAATAGCAACTATTCTTTCATCGCGGAATTCAGCGAATTGATTGGATTGTATGCCAGCTAATACAGCCAATCAGAGCCTTCAACAGAAAGACTGTAGACATTATGTCTTATTGTTTACAGCCTTTCTGTCAACGACTCTAATAGACTGTATATAGTGGCTATTGCAGTGAAGGTATAAGATGAAGTTTGTAAGCTTGACTTTGTGAAGATGTGCCGTGGGGGAATATATCACTGTGTAGATACTGGAGTTAAAAAAATAAAGGTTTTGTATGATAGCCTATCAGTAGCCTACATTGATAAAAATATGGTCAAACAACAAATTAATAATGCAGGTATCTACCTTGAATCATGAATTTTGGAATAACTCTATGGAATTTGCTGCCAGTGTACCCATAACCATTCTGTCCTGTACACAGCTGGTAGAAATTCTCCGTTGTCCTAGGAACAACATTTCCGAACAACCCCATGACAATTCTTCCGATTGGTTCATTTCCAATTTTAATATCAAAATACACCTTCTTAGTTACCAATAACTCTCCCTACAAATATTGATACCGGTACAATTTTTAAGTTAGTTCAAAGGAGTAATAAAGTTATTGGAGCCATTAATAAAATTGGGGTGTGCTTAGAGAGAATTTTTATATAGTTCAGGTATGAATATGAATGAATCAATGGGGACTAATTTATTGTGATCTGGAACAAGCAGTGTATTTGTATTCAGTTGTAATAAAGTTTGCAAGCATCAACCATAGGACTAGTTTTCTTCATGAAGACAAACTCTCTAGGATGCTATTTTAACCTCACGCCCACAGACTTGTAACTAGTGGTCCTTAAAATTCTCAAATTGAAGCTGAAATTGGTCTCTACCAGCTATTGCCCTTTATGCAAATGGTGCTGCCCCCCTCGACACATTAGGCTGGTTACGGGCTTGCACACAGAACTGCAAAAGTTAATTTACCATATCATACAATACTTTTAAAAAATTGGCATATAAAAATGGTTTAGAGATCAGCTACCTTTTAAAAGTGGTTAACATAATGTAGTGGCAATTAAGAAATATTGCCTTTTTCAGATTTTCTAATAAGCCTCCACTTTAAAAATTTTGCCTCCCCCCACCCCTAGGCCTACTTATTTTAAAGAATACGTGTCTAGATTCTTCATGATAGAGATATCAAAATGGTTTAGGCCTACAAAAGCCCCCTCACAACTATTTCTTTGCCTTCTGTTACACACTATTAGCCTCAAAAAGAGTAAATGTAAACGTAACAAAATATCATGTATCGCCCCTTTAACCATGGGTCACGTGACACGGTTTATTGAATGAAAGAGGATAGGCTACTTGAAACTTTTTATTATTTTGTGTCAAAAAGTATGAATTATCAACCAAAAAGATGAATGAATGAATTGAGAGACAAACCTGAGAAAAGCCGAATAAAGCCAAAAGGCACAATGGTAACACCAAACTGTTCATTTTGTCAGTCGAATTTCTTCTCCTGCTCTGTCGTCTGCCACGCTGAAGAAAAATGGCTGCCGAATGTTTTATATTTAAACTCAAGATAAGTCACACTGTACTGTTTGAAGTCGGATTGAATTTCAGTCATAAAGTTTAAAGTCGAGGATTAAAAGTATCGAATGTCGGTTCACGATAGCAGTGCTGAGATATCTTGACTAGGGCGGCATGTGATAACGATTTATTGCCAATCAATTTATGTATGTTATATTTTAATTTCAACACAATAGCCTATAAAGACCTACTGCATGTTCTATTTTCTTATAGAAACTGAGCAGTCTGAAATGTATTATATTTTAAGAGAGGTTCAGGTAGAGAAGAAGTTCAAAGCATCACCCCTTTCTTAGTCAACTTGAGCTAATCTCTCAGGAAATTGTGAGTAAACCTCAAGAGACACCCACATCAGGGTAGAGGAGGTGTCAAAAGATAAGAAACTGTGAATTAGAGTAGCCTAGTAAGCTGAAAGGGGGAGGGGGACAAACACATCTACTCCTGCTCTTCACCCTTTCTGTCCTTTTGCAGTTTAAATTGTCTTAGTTCCATAAGATCTGCTTTCCTGTAGTGTTTTGTGCCTTGAATCTAAACTGAACTGCAAATAGATGGCTGTAAAATGTCATATTTAGGTGGGGCTTGAGTTATTTTGACAGCATTTAATGTCAGAACATAAACATGACTAAAATCTTTATGTTCATGTAGGCCCTTCAACCACATTTTGTTAAAATTAATGGCCATGTGTGCAGTTTATTTTTGTCTTTATCAACTAGAGGTCTCTTAGTAAATGCAGAAATGGCTTTCTCTGCAGACAGCTGACTTCTGTCATTTATTTCAATCTTAATGAATTTTGGTAAAATGAAAAATGAAGTTTTATGGCGTTTTTTTCTGCACCTAATGGGCTAATGAAGAGGGCAATGCCATGCAGTGTGCAATTAGGGAAAATTTTCAAGAAAGCTTGATATTGTGAAGGTGATATATTAGATGAATTTCACAGAAACTTGACATTGTGAAGATGTAGTACAGTAGACCAGATGCCAAGACCAGTACCTATGTATCCACTAAATCTATGTGTATTGCATTTAAATCCTGCATTGTACATCATATCTCCTCTATTTTAGACCTTGAGACAGTGTGTGGTACCCTTGAGTGTAGAGTGACAAATATTAGTCCAGAATCTGCCAGCAAACAAATTGTTGATTTTTGGTCTAAGAATGACAAGAACTGGGTCAGGTTTTCAATATTTGTGTAGGTCCAGTTGTTTATAAGTAAACAAACGTATTTGAGAACTGGACCGAAGACATCTTCCTGTCTCAATTTGACATACCGGTAAACAAAACTGCGTTATCAGCAAATTTTTAAACATAGGATTGAGTCACTGAACTGAGCAATATTGATGTACATCTCTCAAGTTTACAACTTTAGTTTCTTGGTCTTCTTGCTCACAAAATTTTATCAACAATTTTGTGGTAAGTCTGGTATTTCCTTATGTCAAATTTCATACTTATGACAAATTCTTATCCCCATATTCTGTCTGAACTTCTGAGAATTGGGTTAACTGAAAAATCTAATATCTGTAGCAAGATGTCCCCAAAGTTTAGGCCTTCACACTTAAGGATAATAAACTAAAAACAAATTTAATTTTCAGATTTTTATTTACACGTTTTAACACTGATGATGTCATAAAATGGCGTCGAATGATTTGACAACAAGAAAATAAAATCTGATGAAAACACTAACATAACAATATAACTTCTAAAAATTATAGAAATACGCAAATTTAGAAAGATAGATAGGAAGGAAGGAAGGAAAGAGAAGATGCCATAACAATTTGAAAATTGAGGGAGAGTCTGTGAATCATTTCTTAGCTATAGTTATAGAATATAATTGGGGAAAATTTAAGTTTAACGACTAGACCATGGAAACGGGATAAATTATGAGTCCTACTTATGAAATGTTTATTAGGGAAGATATTAGGGCGCATAAGGTTTCATTCAAAACATAAACACAAACAATCCACATTGTTTTAAATATTTTAAAAGAAAATTAAACAGACCCAAATAAAGTGGATTGCTTTCTGTTCGTAACTTGAATATGATGAGACCTACAAAGATATCCAATTATGCAAATTAGATATTTAGATACAAATACGTATAACAATCCACTATTGTTTTAAGGTTGTTAAACTTGTAATGACCACAATGATCTGACTCAATAAGTTTCCTTTACTTTTTCTTCGAAATAAACTTAACTGCTTGTGTTTAAATTTTGAATTTTATCAGATGAACAGAAATATCATTACTGACTATTTTCAAATTGGCTGTGTGATAACTTAAACAACAAAAATACCTAAACAATAAGATAAATTCATTAAAATGTGGAAAATATCAAAATTTTACTACAACATAAACTTTACTAAAAATCCAAAAAATCTAAATTAAAGTTATCAAAGACAAAACTCATCTCATGCTGTTGACGTGTGTTTCAGATATAAAATCCTCATCAGGACAGCTCGTATTCATAAACTTAAATTTAAAGAAATGCTGTATTTTTAATGGCCCTTAGCTTGCAATCACAGCTCAAGCAGTCTGAATGAATAGTTAATGTCTATAACTTGCCAATAGTACATTATTATGACATCTTTTTAAGCCTTAAGCTTGATAAATATCAGACTAACATCCACCAAACTTTACAAGTTATTCATTTAAATACCTTATTTGTTATTCATATATTTGTGTCAAGTTATAAATAAGCACTTTGATATAACAACGAATGTCAAAACTTATATATGATATACATATATTGTTTACAGCATCACTGATTGGAGTTTTACATCCTACTTTCCGAGAGATAATAGAATGAGAAATGAACATGATAAGTTGAGTTTTAGCACTTACTTTTTCTGGCCACGAAGAGAAGGAATAAAGCAAATTTTCAGGGTCTTCGTAGTTTTTCACAGAAAGTTAGGGAGAACAATGTGAAGGATGGTAGGACTATAGATGAGCAAGATATCTATGCCTATCTGGGACTGATTCAAGTCATAGACACAAGCAGTCCATTTTATTTGTAAGTAGTAAAAGTAGTAATGAACACAATACAATATGTCTGACTTGTACAGTTTCATTTACTATTCTTCCGAAAAATAAACTTGCACCGCCATGATGCGTGTTCTCTTTGGCTGCTAACGCTCTAGTTTTTTTTTTTTTTTTTTTAAAGCGTGAAGCCATATTGATTGTCAAGAATGATATTAAGTGACTTATTAGGGTAAGGTAGGGATGGCCATGTTTTTTAATGCCCATTTCGCGGTACGAATAGCCACAGCCAAAAAATAAAATAGATTGCTTGTGTTAATGTTTTGGTTCTTCCCAGATGGATACAATATATTAGCCGACTATTCAATATGAAGGTGATAATGAATATTGATAATGAAATGAATTATTCTGTACAGAAATCACTACAATTTATATACATATCTGATTTCTCGCTTTCTCTCACTCTTGCTGTACTAATCATAATCTCTTGAATTTAACGGATACGATTGTCTGAATTATTAGACCAATCAGCTGATAGTTGTACAAATTATAACAATGGCTTAAGAAATGTAAACATCTAAATTTATGTGTATATCTGAGTTATCTCCCTTTGACTGTTAAAGATACAAAGAAGAAAGGTTATAAAATCGTTTGGCGACAGATGTACTTGCGCTCGTGGTCTGAATGCTTAAAACTTAAGACAATATTTTCGTCAACTGTTTAATCCAATCAGATCTATGATAGAATCTAGATTATCCAGTTTGTAGAAACATTATCCAGTCATTGGCTGTTTATTGGTTGTAGAATTCGCATTGAATCTAGATTATCCAGTAGATAGAAACATTATCCAGTCACAAGATGCCGTTTAGCAGCAGAATTCCACAACTTTTATCAAGATTATCCAGTTTGTGTAGAATTTGAACCCATATTGAAAACTAGGATTAGAAACTTTATCCAGTCACAAAAGGTTGAATCACCAACAGAATTCCTGTATGAAAATTATCCAAAATGTGAATCGATGAAATTTTAGCATGAAACTAGCATCCAAAACCAATTAGCTAAAAAACACACTTAACACTCGCCAGATGAGGAACAAACAAAATGATGATAAAAACACAAAATTCCAAAAAACATCAAACGGGTAATAAATCAAATTCATCGCTAACGGTAACCATGGGTAGATGAAGTTCGTCAATCACTGGGGTGGCGTTATGATCACATAAACCTAAATCTTTCAGTTTACATTCCCAATCAAGTTTTTGAACAGCGTTTAACGACTCTGCTTCATGACGATGTCGATATAATAAAAATTTCTGAAAAAAACAAGAAAAATAGAGATTGACATTGGTGACAGGAAAACAAACATTAACTATCACATTGTTGCACAAAAACTGAAATCTCTAAAAATTTGTAAACCGCATTTACGCCATTTTTCACTGTATCATTAAAGCATTAGCCATCTCTTTCTTAATCCAACAGTTGAGGGATCTTTAACATGCTCTGTCTATAGTACACCAGACCTCCAATTTATTGTCCCACCTGAATTACCAGCGTTTTTTAGCAAGCAATAAATTTCTGAACACCTTATAAGGTAAACACCAATAGATACTTACTTTAATTTTTTCGTATTTATCTGAAACGTCTTGTAACCAGGATATAAATTGTCGTTTATTATACCTCGCTCTTACGTTCTTCTCGCATTCTTCAGGCTGCAAAAATACAGAAATAAGATAAGATACAAAACAAAAACAAAAACAAAATCAATCAGTTTGATGCAAGCCCTATTTTGACAAACTATTTTGATCACTGCCCTGCCCTGCCCTCTTAAAGACCAGTCAAAGAAAACATACCTGATCTAAATGTAAGAAATTATAAACTTCCTCTTCACGTAAAACAGTACAAGCACTTAATGGCGTTGATTGGTTCATATCCGCCCTGGCAGCTCGACCGTGTTCACGTAAAATTTCCTGTTCTGCAGACAATACCAATTTTTCCTGAAAGATTAAAGATTAGGATAAGTATGATATCTTAAGAGTTCGTGAGACAGCTTAGAGCAGAAGAAGAGCCATGAGAATAATTTTTAATAATGCTGACAAATCAAGACAAAGTTTATTTGGCAACAAAATAAGAGATGAAAACCTACCCTTTCTATTAAATGTTGGAGACGTAATTTATAACGTGCATTTTCCTGTTCTATAAAAAATTCTCTCATTGGATCTTCTACAGAATGTGGACATGATAACTGAAAAAAAAAAAAAACATCATATTTATATCACCCTGTTTTGAAAGCTGATACAGAAGTTTAAAAAAGTTTATAAATGTGCAGATATTAAAAGTACAACTTATTGTATTTGTACCTTTACACTGAGGTGATAAACCAGAAATTTGAGTTATGCTATGACAGGAACATAGAAAAAAGAATTAAAGGAGACAAACTGGTCGTAACGCAATTTGCTTCTTCAATTTTCTAATGTACTATTTATACAGAGTTTGAACTAAATCTTTGGAGTAAAAAACTTACCATAGGTACAGAAAGAGTGCTGGCAGTGTTTCCTTGTAAAACATACGTACAGTTAACCATCAGATAGTCCTTGTACCCAGCCGGTAACTTCGGTGTTACTGCTGTTAAATTCTTCCTTCGTGATGATATCTACAAGTTGAATACATATTTTAAATTCTATATTCAAACAACCAAGACTGACTTTGAACTATATATTCAACTAAGACTAAGTTATATTTTTATGTTATGTTCATAACCATTATTAACGTTGATTTTCTACAGAGCAGAAAAACAGTATCATTTCCTTTCATTAGCAGAAAGGTACAGAACAGTGGGATATCAAGTTTTTTATCATGTACTCAATCAATATCTAAAAGACAATCAGAGAATTAAAACCTCAGATATCTTAGCAATTTATACCCATATTGAACAACCAGAAATAAAGCTCAATTCTTTGTTTTCAATAATGCCCTCTTACCTGTCGTCGAATACTGAGGAACAGTTCAAAAGGGTTTGGAGGCATCTGATACCAGGATGCTGGGTTGGGAGGTAAAACAGGTTCTTGATTGGGAGGCGGTTCCACCGGTTCGGGTTTCGGCCGTAATTTACGTTTACGAGGATGGATGTGCGACGATTCCTCATTTTCTTCTGTTCTCTGATTGGATGAATTGCTGCCCGAATCTGCTGCGCTATCAATGTCTGAAAATAGAAACAGACATATTGATTCCTAGTAAGAGACAACATTTTACTTATCAAAAGGTTTTAAGTTCATAGTTTAAAGAAATTTATGAGGAAAACTACTGGCATATTTCCTTTAATTGGATCTTAACTTCTATTTCTATATTAGACATCTTGCTAATTGCCACCATGCTTTCATCAGAAGGCAATAGAAAATTTCAAACCAACCTCAATGAAATAGCAAGTCATAAAAAAACCCCTTTACTATAAAATATCTAAGACAAGAATCTTACTTGGTTTTTGACTAGCGTTTTTAGTCGAAGTTTTACTCGTTCTGTCGCCAGATTTTCCTGCCGGCTGCGTGTCTTTATTTTGTTCTTTCTGCAGCTGAGCTGTGTGTGACCTGAGTTGCCTAGTAACCCGTCTCTCCTCCTGCTGTGTTTCTTCTTTCACTTTCGCCGTATTTTCGACGTTCTCTGATTTTGTGGAGTCTCTCGAATCTATAACTTTATCACTAGTTGATTCATCTTTGTCTATCGTATCGCAATTTTCACCAGAAGAAGACACAGGGGGAGCACTCGAGGAATTGGATGGCCTCGAAGTCGGACTGTTAGTCTGTAACGATTCTACTGGAGCACTATTCGGATGTTCTGATTGGTCGCCCTGTGGTTTAAAAACATATGGCAACCCACCTTGTTTCTGCAACGTCACTTTTAACGACACTTTCTCTTTGTCTTTTGACGGAATTATTATTTTTAGGGGAGGAACTTTCGGAGAAGAGGGTCGACTATCGCTTCCGTCCAATTCTTCGTCTTGCCGAATAATTGAACTTTGAGAGTTATCTTCTGAATATAAAACACTATCTTCGTCTTTGGGTGGAGGAGTTATGTCCCATCTCGGTCGGCTATCCGTATCACTTTTTTCCATATTAGAATTATCACGAGGGGAATCTAAAAACGCTGATTTCTGGGAGTTTAATCCTGACCAACCAGAATTGATTGAAACTGTCACATGACTATTTGTATCGGTCACAGCGGAACTAGTCGTCTGACTAACACTAGAGGTCGTTACCTCTGAAGCAGTCGTTAACGGTTCACAATTACTTCTCTCTTGTGGAATGTGAGAGTAGTCCCAGAATTCCCTGTTACCACTCACGCCTGAGACAGGTTGAGAGCGTTCATCGTCGCCTTCGCTGAATTCATCGTAAACTTGAGGTGAAAAACTTTGTGTGCCAGTACCGAGTTCCGAAAAGGGTCGCTCTTTGATACTCAATGATGAATTTTTATCCCTGAACGATTCAAACACAGGGTTCGTAGATGAAAATGGTTTAGAATCCTCGTCTTTCCGCAACGACGACAAACGTCCGAATCCTGCATCGTATAAATCACTATCCACACTAGACACAGGACTACCCGTCGCGGAGATACTTTCCTTCTGATCGTTCGTATCCACAGTAACAACACGATAAGATTTAAACTGATCTTTAGATTTTTGTGGAATATCCATGTTCGATAAAGGATTTTGCTGTATTTTAAACACAAGTCTCGGTGAACCCGTTTTATTGTCTGGTGATTTGGGAATTAACGCTCGCCGACTGCTACCCACAATTCCACTGTTGTTATCTTTACCAAATCCCCGTAATGATAAATCTGAAATAGAGAATAAACTTTTTAGTATGAAATGAATAAGGTTCCATATAACAATTTATGCCTTAGATCTTGTCTATTGAAAATCCTATACAACTCCACAACTACTTTATGCTATTCAAGTTGAAGGTGATAAATATATATTTTTACTGTCGAACTATGCAAAATTTCTTGCTTTCTACATCACTCTACTAACTGACTGAACATTATTTTAACCAGTAAAAAAACATTAAAGTATAGTCGCAGACAAAGTTTTCAGGAATCTTAGTAGAAAGTAAAACTTAAAGATATATTACCATCAACGTGTTCAGAATCCAGCGGACGATCTTCATCTTTAAATGATGACGTACTTTCTGGTGACATCGGACTACGAACATCGTCGATACTAGAACTATCACTATTAGATATTGACATGTTTATCTCGCGACGTAATATCTGTTCTATCTCCGTCGACGCTGCCACATCTATCGGTGTTTTACCTTTAGAATTAGACTGATGTGGATTGGCTCCATGTTTTAACAGTAATATCACCAACTGAAGTGAAGAAATAAAATAATATAAACACAGTTGTAAGTGGTGAATATGAAATGAAAGTTGAGGAGAGGTTTGGGTACAAGAGCATGTCCCGACCCTCGCTTATGAACGAATGTATTGTTGTATTTTAATGATATTTCTCATTTTATTTCAATAACAGCCCCGATCAATGATATCTTGCCATATAACTCAAAAAATAGATTAGAATTTGAAGTAAAACAAACCTTATGATGTCCATTGACAGCAGCATCATGCAACGGAGTATCGTTATCCAAACCTTCTACTTTTACATCAGCTCCAGCTTTCACCAGTTGTTTAGCAACCTGTAACATTCCTGTATTACATGCTTCATGTAGTGGTGTCCAACCTGAAAACATACAATATATTAATATCGGGTAAGGCCATTTACTGTTAGAATTTTGATTTATGAAAACTTAGACCATGAATCCTTGAAAAACTGCTTCTAGACATTGATATTTCTTAGATTATCCATACCTATTTGCAGCTAGGAGATTATCCATACAGGAGATTATAACATCAAAGGAAAAGAAAAAATATCTTGTTCATATTCAAACACTTTTACAGCTGAGTTCAGAATTTTCCAGTAGGTAACTGAGAGAATGATAAAATCATTTTTATGCGGTTCACTTACCAGCATAATCTGTGACATTGACGTCTGCACCAGCTTTGATCAATCGTTTAGTCTCCTTGACATCACCACGTTTAGCAGCTCCGTGAAGCGATGTCTCGCCTCGGTCATTACGTTTGTTAACTTTCTTATCTATCGGAGTTCGTTTGGTGGTAGAAACAGGAGTGGTGGGAGAAGCTGGTTTAGGAGAAGAATCTGAAAGACAGAAATATATATTTTCAAGAGCTAGTCATACTGTTTCTAGGATTCAACAACACATCGGAATGAAACAGTCTGAATGATATCCACTCAGATTGTCTAAGCATTGCTACTGGACATCAGAACCATGATCTAGTCTATGACGATCAGTAACCACAGCTTAATCCACAAATAAAGGGGAGTAACTCTGTTGAGACTAAATACTTTGAGCTAATAAAGACCTAAAATTTGTAACTGAAATTATAAGAAAAGACCCCGTAATCAAAATAGTAGCCAAACAATGAACATTTGTTTTTGCACAGGTTTTGAGAGACGTGAAAAAAGTTTTGAGAAAATCTACCAGGTCGAAATTATAGCCTACAGTAATGACAACATTAAACAAGTTTCAAAGTAGTTTCTAAAATTTTCTGGCGATACTTACCTCCTTTGGTTTCGTCGTTCATTTTCATTAACATGGCTAATTGTTAACAGCTAATATAGATCAGCTTATATTGTGAGTGGGCTGCCTGAAAAACTGACACTTATTNTTAACTGTCTGGATCAGTTTTTACCGATGTTGTCCGTGCAAAGTATGATATTTCACAAGATTAACAATATTAGGAATATAAAAAATTAAATATACAAGGTGTTCCCCTAAATTTATAAAGACACTTATTTTTGATGTTTTTTCTTCATTTCATATCACCACACTGCAATCAATAGTACCGCAATAGATGTATTAATGAACTATTGGGCCCTACCCCAAATAAGGATGTTAAAAAACTATTTGGTTCCCCCACCCCTAACTCCCTTGAAAATGATTATGCAGTCCTACCCTAACCAATCAAGTTAAAAGTTCCCTTATCAAGAGCTATATACAATAGTTAATGGACTGTTGACAGGAGAAATATAGGTCAAGATGTGAAGATAAAATATCTAGGTCATAATAACAACATATTTTCAACTACAAGTCTAAGTTGAAACACAATCTTTTTCTAGATCTCACTAATAATAATTACTATGGCAGGTGTTGCTGGCTGAACAGAATTTACTCAGAACACCTGATACCACTTCGAGATGGAGTTTGTCAACAAGAAGTGCAGAGAATTCAAGAACTAGCTATATCTCAGGAGAGATATTAAAACACAATGCATATCTTTGTCTAATTTAATCTGATTGCCATTCAATTTCAAAAATTCACACTCAGAAAGAAAGGGATTTGAGATTTTGTCAGCCTGAAATTGATTGGTCGAAATCAAATCCCATGATGAGCTAGTTTTGCCCTGGCAGTGTCGGCTCTCACCCCCTAGAACCTAACCCTACTGCCTGTGCCAGTGCACAGAGTCAGCAATTTGTCCACTCCAACCCTAACTGAACAATATCACAAAGCCCAATAGATGACCGGTAGATTTAGTCTGTATCTGATGTTCGAGAACACAACAGGGGACACCCAGTTAAGACAAATTTCCCAAGTCTAATGATCTAATATATATTTATAGTGTAGGCTAAGTAGTTATAAGTGAGATTTTTAACAAGTTAATAAAATAGTTTCTTAATAGAATTAATATTTTTAATGACATTAAAATCGTGACTGTTTTCTACGTTTAAATATATCTCTTAATTAAAATAATGGAAGCTATTTCACGAAGTGTTGGAAATTATCACGATTCTCAAAATGGCTTAACTTTCTTTATTTAAATCTTAGTTTTTTGGGTTCCATTTTTTACTAAAATACTTAAAACACTTTTCACAGACACCTAGCCTGGTCTTTCAGTTCTATCTAGAACTCATTTCATGTATTTTGAATGATCCAGGATAACTATTGGAGTCATTTCAGGT